CAGAGTGACAGTGCCCTGAGGCTAAGTTTACCGATCCATGGGCTGAGATGCTTGGGACCCACAGAACATCAGGATGAGAAGTGAACATCTGGGTAGGTGTACCCTGGTATGTAGACCTTGCATCTAGATAGCTAGTTGGAAATTCTTTTCTTCTAGCTCTCCAAAGCCTATTTCTGGAGCTTTCTATTTTCGAGGTATTCCTCACGGAGTCTCAAATGCATCACTGAAATCATGAAATTTTCCTTCTCTTGTTGTGCAGTGGTGGTTGGGAGATAGATAGATGCCTCTTGATACTGTAATCAGGTTTTTTTTAAACCCCTTTTTAAGGATTTAGATGTGCTTCTTTTCATCTTTGAACTGCAGATATATTTCTATCCTGCTTCAATGATGAAATTTGAAATTGTGATGGAAAGAGATGAATTGTGATAATGTTATGCTTACAAATGGGAATTCTTACAAAAGCACTATCTCCCTGTCTGCTGTTTGTGGAGATTATTTTAAGTCCTCACTCAGGCTGACTTTGCTTTCTGACTTGTTTATATTCTCAGAGTATAAAAATACAGTAGTCAGAAAGCTCCTCTCGGGGAGTCTGCATTTAGTTCTTGTTGGAGGATTCCTTTCTAAATGGACTCTGGTATCCTTTTAGCAACTCACATTGTTTGCCGAAATCTGAGCTGCCCAGGGAAATTAGAGCAGTTGATTTAATATCATGAACGTTTGGGGGCTTCTCACCTTATTCACAGGCAGGAGAGTGTAAATCACATTGAGTATTCTGTATAAAGTAAGAGGACAATGAAAGTCGCCTCCAAAACATAAACAGCCAACCTTTCCTCCATCCACTGCCTCCCTGCTCTCCACCTTCACTCTGCGCCCATGGAAATCTCCCTTTCTCCCGAGCGACCTTCCCAAATGCTGGCTAGCAGAGATCTGTGTGGCATAAAGACGGCCCCGCCATGTGCTCGTGAAGGGAATGCTCCATCATTATTGTTAGTGCTGGGGCCATAGGGCCACAGCCAGAACAGTGTTGCTCGTGGCTTAGGGCTTTCTTCCATATATTTTGAGCCCAGCCCTGTCACACTTGCACTAGAAGGACTCATTCTGCAGCCATACGTGACCAGCTGTGGCGTCCCTGGCACTAGGCAAGGCATGGGGGTAGGTTATTTCGTGTGGCAAGAAGAAAAGATTAAGGCAAAAAAAAAAAAAAAGAAGAAAAGATTCAGTAGCAGTACAAAACACACTTCTTATTGCCAAGGAAAAATAGAAAGAGAGCTACCAGGCACTTTCAGGTGGCTGAGTTCTTAGTGCCCCCGTTTCCGAAGTTCCTTTTGCACCTGCCTCCTGAGTAACGGTGTGTGGAGTGGGCAATGGGCTTTTCTGATTTGTTTTTAAGAGGATCTTTGCATGAGTCTTTTCAAAGGCACAATATCGACCTTTGACTTGAGAGCTTAGAGCATAGTCGGCAGCCTCCATCCACCCCCAGAAGCAAACTGCTAAGTCAAATGCTTTGGCCTTAGCTCTGGAAGGTTCTCTATGCCTATTTCACTTCTCTCCCAACACCCACAAAAAGATGCTGGGTTTGCATTTATTTCGCCTCCCCTCTCCCATGCTTCAGGACTAACTTGTGTGTGTCTGAGATGTAATTCTGAAAGAAAACGAAAACTTGTCAGATCCAAGTGTGTATTTACTTTGTTTTAGGGACCTAGATTATTTGCAGGAAATATCAGAATTGATTGCAGACAATTAATGAGCATTTCATGAACACTCTGATGCTCAGTGCCACAGAGATGTAGTAGCTGGGAAGTGAAGTAACTCGGGTTTTCGTTTCCTGAAAGGACCCTCGCAGGCCTTTACCCCTGTAGACTTCTGTAATGAATGGTGCATCTCTTGGGAAGGACTCTGACCACCAAGGCAGGGGATACTGTTTATCTGTGGCTCGAATGAAAGGAGACAATCTTGGTTATAATAAATGTCTTCTAGAAAAGCACACTTCAGCATAAATATTTTAAAATTTGATACATTTCATGTGTTCCAAAATACTCTGTAAAATACACCCACAGAGATGCTTATATTAAAGCTTTGTTTTCCCCATTATTCATGAAGAGCTAGGTGTCGACTTGTGCCACCCCCTGAAACTATTTAAACATCACATAATTGATAACGTACTGGAGATCTCTGCTTTTAGCCTTAGAATGAGCAGGGTCCTCTCAGAGACTCTGTCTCCACTGCTCTGTATCCTGAGTGGCAGGACCCTGATGGGAGACTGACTAGTGGATTTTTTTTTTTTTTTTTTTTTCTTTTAAAAATTTTACCTAAGTAATTTCCTTGCTCTCTTTATTTATTTATTTTTTAAATTTGGATTTCAGTTACTCTCTGGTGTCATTTCCTTTTCTTTCTTTCTTGTGGGTTTTTTTTTTTTTTTTTTTTTTGCGGTACTTGGGCCTCTCACTGCTGTGGCCTCCCCCGTGGTGGAGCACAGGCTCCGGACGCGCAGGCCCAGCGGCCATGGCTCACGGGCCCAGCCGCTCCACGGCATGTGGGATCCCCCCGGACCGGGGCACGAACCCGTGTCCCCTGCATCGGCAGGCGGACTCTCAGCCACTGCGCCACCAGGGAAGCCCAGACTAGTGGATTTTTAAAAATCTTTTGCACATCTCCTTCCCCGCCTACCCTTTTTAATTTCTTTCTACCACTTCATTTTTTCTCTTCCTTCTATGAGTTTCTTCTCCCCTGCAAGTTACATACTTTTCATGTAAAAGCGTACATTTAGAGTATCCTGTTTGGTTTCTGGTGCACTCATAAAGAAAAGGAATAGAAAGCGTTTCACAAATCCGGCAAATAAATAATATTCTAATAGCCAGGACCTCTCTAAAATGTCTGCACAAAAGCAGGTGCACCACAAACTGCCATCTCTATGCACTACCCCAGACTTCCCAATTGGATGATTTAGGTACTTTTCTACTTAGGCGGATGGTACCATTTTTGCCGAATTCAGCATGTTCAGTGAACAATTTCTCGGAGCCAAAAGGCAGCTCCACTGC